GTTGGGTTCAGCATGGTTAGGATAAACCCTAACCCCCTAGGGACCATTGAACTCCTGCATAACCTTGTTGGGTTCAGCATGGTTAGGGTCAAACACAGCATCATGAGGCCTGCTGTCTGTACCTTGGTTGCGTTCTTTTTGAGTATGCCGTCCAGCTCCTTCACGATTAATTCGCACAGGACGCACTCCGTGCTGCTCTGAACGTGGCTCAGTGCAGGCACGGCGACGGGCTTGTCGACTGTGTGCCAACAAACACAAGAAAAAAAAGATCAAGACCGTAAGGAGAAACTTGTGGCACTAAGACAGTTTCAAATCAAAGCGTTCAGATGAAAGTGGAAATCTGAAAGAATGTTGGGTGAAAGACGCTTTTAAACAACAGTGACGTAAATTTCCTGAGCAAGTTTTTTTCTGAGAGCCTGCGGAAGAACTGGTTTGACTTGGGATGGAATTGGACCCACAACCTCCATTTTTTTTCAAGTGCAGACTAAGAAGAAGAAAACTTCAAATCAGTTCGAATGGCTGTGTGTATACAGAAATACGATAGCGGCACAACCACTGACCCACCTGATCTACAAACTCTGATGGCTTTGCACATTTGTTCCAACGGTTTGCCAGACAGCAAGTACTCGGTGACCTTGCTGCGATAGTTTGCGACAAACGCTTGGCAGCCTATCAAGTCACCCCCTATCAAGTAGCACACCGCGTTGAGTGCATCATCCACCTGTTGCTGAATGGCGTGCGGACAGAAAACAAGATTTCACCTTTCCCACTCTATCAAGAGTTCAGACGCAAAGGGGACAGACAAGACGCGAACAAATGACCAAAAAAGATCTGGGAAGTTGGAAGAAATCTCATCGGGGTCATTTTCCAGGCAGGAACCCACTCATGGTCCAGTTTTCTTGCACACAGTTACTGATGAAAGTGTGCTCCGTAATCATTTGGTCAGTCTTTGGATTGAGCGAGCAAGTTGCTCGGAGACCTTGCTCTTCTCCTCTCCAGGTTAACCTGCCTGAACCCCTTCGTGTACACCATCAGTGAGACGGGTGCACTACAAGAAAAGCAAATAGCGCCCTCAAGAGTCCAGCTGCAAATCTGGACAAATATCACACAGCCAATAAGCAACCTCAAACACAACTTCCCCATCATGTAATTAACCTCGCTTGTCACGTCCTCATACAGAAATGTAATTTTAACATAGAGTCAATTTTTTTCGAGATTTTCACGGCATTTTAAAAAGCATTGTTAGTTTCAACCCCAAGATAACCGTAAGGCTTGGTTTTTAAAGAATAAAGGCGCCTTTCCATGTAACGTGGTTTGGTCCATTCCATATCGGCTGTACCCCCTACAATTTCAATGAACACTCTTAGCAACTCCCACACACAGACTTGAGGAATGGCGCCTCATTTCTCTTGCCGCTTTCCATTTGCTAATGTCAAGGTTTGCCTCAAAACTAATCAACGGTTAGTAACTGCAGAAGCTTGGTATGCAATATTACAAGTGACAACGTATGCACTCGGACAGAGCAAACTCTAGGGCTCAGCCATATTGAAGGCTTTACGTTACCTTGGTAACGTGCGGTTTGATCACTTGAACGAGATATTTCTCGACACGGTAACACGTGACGCAGTCAAAAATGTCATTCACGTGGTCCGGCTCCATGACTTCATCTATTGGAGGAAACATAAACGACAAGCTGCAGACAATCGGCACTGCCAAGACTGACTGTAATTACTCTGGACCCAAAGAACTTTCATTTCTCAGCGAAAACTAGGAGGTCAGCTTTTTTTCCAATGTCCTTGTCTTGTGCCCGTGCTCTTGGATGCATAACATAGCATGCAAACACTCAGTTTGAAACACTCCTCTGACTATACCAGCCAAAGAAACTTCCGTTACATACGAAGCATGAACATCCCTTTGTTTTCGTGCAATAGTAAGAAAATACTCATTTTTCTTGAACTGAGAAAATGATTTTCAGCTGGATTTTGTAAAAGGTTTTCTTGACTGTTCCTCCTCCTTTTGCGATGGATGACCCTAACCCCAAAACGGCTCCAAACTTCTTTTTCAGAGAAAGGGAAACATCCAGTAGACACGTGCAGGTCCACAGAACGTCTTCCCTTCCTGCATCGTGTGGACATCTTTTGTTCACATGTTCACACCAGGTATGTAAGGTTACCACCCCCCTCGGGACGGCTTTACACACACCCATCCCAGCTGAGCATTTTCAGCAGTAAATATCCATCAAGAAGCATGCAGCCTTCTGACAAAAACCCTCATCAAAGGAAACTCCAACATCCCAAGCTTGACGGGGCCAGAAAACTTTTCTTGTCAACTTGGGCCAAGGGTGGAAGGATCTTGGTAACATTACGGGGAGACAAGAAATAAACAGTGAAAAGAAACCGATACCGCTAACACCACTAGGTTTAACCCCTTCATGGTGGTGGGATTATTTTGACCGTGACTGCTGGGCTGTGGTAGCCCTGAATGGAGGGCTTTGTCCAGCAGCAGGCCCCATTGAACCAGCAGCTGCATGGTGAATAGACTGCATGTGTGGTATGCACTAATCCTCACACAACGGTGAGGTAGTAGCAGTCCTCCGTAGCGATGGGGTTAAGAATCAACATTTTCAATCATTACTAAACGATTCTTAGGAAGGTGGTCAAAGATTGAAACATCCACGCTTGCACGGAGGCAACATCTGCACCAGAGCAAAGGAGGTCATGGGTTCAAACCCCACCCAAGAAAAGTAACGGTCATGATAATGTTGATATCAATTCTGAAATATAATAATGACACTAAAGAAATCATGATTTCACAAGATTTGAAAAATACATGAACTCTGTCATGGATGCAATGAATAACAACCGTTGTAAGGAATGTTTGAGAAGCAATTTTCGATCCCTTGTCAAGTCTGTCTTTTCACAAAGCCGGGAAGGTTGACACTCTTAAAACTTTAGGATGGATGTAATAATCCTTTCAAAGCCTTGTGGGTGATTTGTCGCTACAGTGCTGAAATACTACAACGTGCATTCTGTACGCATGTCTCTTGTCACGGTTCAAACAAACTCGAATAAATGAAGATTGGTAGAAATTCTGTCACGTACTCCGGAGAAATTTGTCGATCCTGGTGTCCTGTGAGGTCCGTAAGGATGAGCGAACAGCTTTTGTAGACTCACCTGGCAAGGAGCAGACCTTCAGCATCCGACAGAGGTCCTGCAACGGAACCTGACCCGTCAGAAATTGCACTATCTGGTCTCCGTACTTCTTCACAAAGTCATCGCATCCTTCCCTCAAGCCCTCTGGCAACTGGCCGCAGGCTTTGCTCAGGTCCGCCTTGATCTCGTCCTGTGATACAACAGACAACTGAGGTGATTGTGGACGATAAGTACTGACTGAGCCGGATACCGGAATTAGGGGCGATTACCGCCGCAGGGAGAAAAAAAGGAGTGGGCTTATTTTGCGATTTGTTTGCTCAGGTTTACCTTGTTGAAGTGGGGCGGCAATGTCTCCTGAAGGAAATCCATCAAAAACTCGCACAGGATGCACCCGCTGGGGTCCTGGGAAGCCTGATCCGTGACAACAGCTGAGCAGAAAAGATTGAAAGTTAAAGAATTTCAACAAAAGTCTACAAATGCGATATTCATCAGTGCAACTCTCTCGCCTTTACAACACAAAATCTTCTCAAACTCTTTCAAATCCAACACTGTGATAATGGGCAATATCACTCGGAGAGCAATTTTTTATCCATGCTGACGCCTGCAGGGTGTTTTTAAATTATAGAAAGTTTATGTCACTTGAGGATTAACCCTAACCTTCCTCAATCCTCCAAAATCCTTTGGGCAGTTATGAGGATTTTAGAGGATTGGGGGTGAATGGCAAAAGTGCATGGCTTATTGCGAAGGATGCCATTCATGAAGGACGTGGGTTAGACCTTGTGTTGTTTTTGCTTTTAGTCATGCATAAATTCAGCCCGATATTTCTTTTGAATCAACCGCACTGCTCAAGAATGCCATTTCCACTGCCTAAGCATAATGACAGGAATTGCCGGAGGATTTTGAAGGATTGAAGCAGTAGGCACATCTCCAAGTAACATTTTCAAGAAATTTTGGAGGATTTCGGAGGATTGAGAGTGAATCCAATTTTTTCATCCCTCCTAAATTGGAGGATTCTGGAGGATTGAGGAGGGTCCCTAGCAAAAAGGGCCTCGAGGGTAGGGTTAAGGATGGGGTTCAGGTGCGTCTCAGGGCAAGGAATAGGGTAAGACTCAGTTCTATTGGAGATGGGGAATCATCGGTAATCCTAGCTTAGATCTGGAATTCTAAAGTCCAGCTGAAGGCATGTAATGAAGAAATGCCTCAAGCAGCCGCCCGGCAACTCTTATCGGACCATCGAACGTCATAAATTGAGAGTGGTGACTTTTTGCGGAGGGAAGAAAACCAGGGAACCCCATGAAAAACCATCATAGCAGAGGGGAGAGCCCACAAATAAGTCTACTCAGATTAGGCTGAGTCCAAGAATCGAACCCAGGACAGCACTGGTGGGTGGCGAGCATTTCATGCACTGGCCATCCATGTTGCTACAATAATCAGCTCGCACAAGACACTCGTACAATGCCATACTTGGAATCTAAACCTCTGCTAGTACTTGCATCGCAGCTTTTGATCTCAAAACTCCATCCAAGTCGGACCATTTTGTGGGCAGGATAGTGGAAGCCCGGTTAAGAAGCTAACACTTAGCTACAGATCTAACCTTCGGGGCAGATGCCGGCAGCGGAGCATGCTTTGTCGTAAGCAAAATGAAGCTCTTGCAATATCCGGATCAGCCGGTCAGCGTAGTTAGTGACGAACATGTTGCACTGCTTCTGCAGAGTCTCGAACGGCAGTTGTTTGCAAATGGTGTACATTTCTGTCTCCAGCTGGGCCTATGGACATCAAAATAAAGGTACAGAATCTCGACAAAGAGACAGTTTCATCAACACATATTGTCAACTTAAGGTCAACAAGTAAACTCTCGCCAACTGCAGAGAGGTTGAAAAGTCTGGTGCTGTTTATTTTCCGGAAAGGTGTAGCTATAGAGCCTTGTAATTTAGTTGTGTGCAAACTGATTTCAATGACAAAATTACAAATTTCAGAGCAAACACAAATTTGCAAGCATTTGCCAAACAGCGACTTCTGAGGCTGGACGGACTGTTTTGGGCACCAAAAGACCACAGAATTCTCTCACCGGTGATGCTCCTTTGGGAAATAGCATCTCCAGAGCATCCATGATGGATTGGCAAATTAAGCAGTCATCAGGGTCAGCATCTACGACGGTGACAGAAAACGCGGGAAGCTTTATTTGTCTACCAGGGAATGTGGGAGAGAATATCTAAATCAAATATTAGCGCTGAAAACTCTCAATCTTTGATACCTTCTTCAGAAACATGCAGTAAAGTTTACCATGAGTTGGCAATATTGAGACTGAAACTGAGGCCAACGCTTCATTTCAAGAACTGGCGAGAAGAAGTGGTAAAATCTAGTTTTGTGACAAATAAGCACCTGTCAAATCCGATGAACAATTTCACATTTGTGATTTTAACAAAATGTAGTGTTCTCAGTCAGATTGTAAGAAATATTGAAAGCGAAGCCTGCCATGCATGACAAGAATGAAATAGTCTGGCACCACTGCATCAAACAGTACAATTTCTAAACAGATTTAGGGAACCAGAACAAAAATGGCTTCTCTGTATCTCTACTAAACCCAATTACACAGGGAGCTAAATAGACAGGCAACCTGTCCCCTCACGTATGGGTTGCCACCTTCAGGTTTGCAGAATTTTATTGGCTGAATCGTTTTTTATTCTTTGTAGTAGGAGACTGTCTCAGCACACAAGCAGGTCCCATTGTGCCAATAAACTCCACAAAGCTGGATGTCAAAATGTTGTTACGATATACCATGTGAAGCCTAAATACCCATACAGTGGGATTATCTAATCGGGAACCAGACGACTAGAATTGTAACAACCAAGATGAACGTTTTAGGGCTTACAGAAAACTTTTGCAACACTTTGCAAAATATTGAATTGTAAGCATCACAGAAAATATCCGGTTTTGGTCACTTCTTATTTTTGTAGGAAGGGACGGGTCAGTTTTGCACTTTTAAGAAATTTGATAAAAGGTGCGCCAGTTTGTAAATGCAGAATGACAACAGATAAAGTCATACTGTCAACTATATGGATGTTAATGGATATTACGATAAATACACCATTGTAAAATACATTATTCTTAATTTCTAGAAGCTATACGGTAATTCGGTAATTCGATCACCAGAAGTAGAAGCCATTACTGCTGTGGCACAACGCTCATGGACAGGCGGTTCGCACGCATTACATGCCTCTTCAAACAACAGGGTGTCATGATTTTCCAAATGCACGTGCGCGTCAAGCTGAAAAATGTGCGTTTGAGTGCGGCGCCACCGCAGTTATGGCGTCTAATCGGATTAATCTATAGAAGTGAGTATACTATTCTTCTGAATGAACTTACTCAACACGGGAAGTGCTGGAGTCAACTTTATGGCTGGCATCTGCAATAAGAGAGAGAAATGTGGGCAATTATTTGAGGCGGTATGTGAAGCTGTAAACTTCCCTCGGTATTCAAAACTCGAATGAATTAATCAACATTTGATAACTGAAAAAAATCATTCTGCGCTTGTGCACAAATGGCCTTAAACAATCCGACTTCAAAAGTTGCCACCGAGTAGGAACTTTTGATGTCCAGAGCCATGAGGACTGAAAATTTGACAAGAGAATTTGACGTGATTAGCCACTTTAATCCATCTTGATTCTGCGGGGGCCGGGTGATTTTTCTTTTTTTTCTGTTTTCAAAATTCTAAAAAAAATCATAACTTCATTTACTAAGCATTTACAACGACACAAATTACTGTCTGGTGGCTAATCTGACGGACAATATCTATTGACGCTTGAATATTTCAGCCAGGCCTGCAGCCTTGTAAAAAGAGCCCAGATTGTGCGGGGTTATGTAATTTTCTTTTGTTCCCAAAACCGGCACCGTGCACTGCTGACGTCTTTTCAGTAGGGGCCAGATTAGCGTGCACCAGCATTGTTTCGCTCATCACTCGAGCGCTGGAGCGCTTTTGTCCCCGGTGGTAATCCAATTTTCTCGGCTATTGAATAACTGAATAAATGTTGGCAATTTTCAGCAGCTTGGTCTTTTGTTAGTAACGTCGCACACTGTATGTTACCACTCAATCAAATCTTGCCACTGGTATACTCTTTTTGGCAACAAGCGGAGAAGTTTGGAACAATAGCAGATGCCAGCAGTGCAGTGGGTCCAGTGACCATATGATTGAAAATTACTGTTTTATCACTCTATAGCAAAACGCAGACACGACCCAAGATCCTGGATTTAAAAAATTAAATTCCTTTGTTCTCTTGTGGTTAAGGAAACTTGAGAAAAATGCTCCTTTTTTTTGACGATGATTTCCTCTTCATCTTGCCACAGAAAACCTTGACCCCAAAATGCCTCTGAAACTGTTTTTCAGAGAGGGGAAAACATTGTGTGGACGTGTGCGAGTCCACACAATGCCATCGCACCCTACATTATGTAGACTTCTTTTGTGCAGAGGTCCACACTATGTATGCCACACCTGCACACCACCACACAGGTGACTGCACTTCAGACACGGCCGCAAAACAGACAAAAGTCATGTGACTGCTTTCCAACTAATCAAAAGAGTGCACCATTTGTCATGTGACATCACCCCCTGAGCCATACCCACCTTCTCCGGCAAGTAAAGTGGTGCTGCAACACTTCCTGGACAGAGTCCGGTACAGACAGAAGGGGTCTGCACAAAAACAAAGGCATTCATTTTCAATTTGCTCCAAATTATTTCATAATTACATTCTTGACATCAGTGGCGCGTCCAGGTTTTGGGTAAGGGGGAGAACAATATGAGACTTTATTCAATAAACAAAGCTCCAAAGTTGATTTCATCCGTAAAAGAATCCCCTCTCACCACTGGTGGTAAGTGCTGTTTCAAAAGTGTTACCGCTTTCAACTCTTGATAAAGGCAATGTAACGTCTGTCCCCCCACTTGCTACGAAGCTGCTTGCCATCTGCCTAGTCTTCTTTGGTACAGATTACTATCTGATAGACAAATCACACTGAAGTGGTGTTTTCCACTCTGATAACGAACGGCAAAATAATGAAATGGCAATTTAAAAGAAGATCCCCCCAGCAAAAACAACAAATTTGTTTTGCTTTGCAGATTTCAAACTGACAAAACATTCCATCTTTGATGTAAAAATTGCAAACCCCATCTGAACCTGGCTATGCATAGAATAGCAAGAGACTTTGAAACACTGGTGGCAGCAGGCATGCCGGTCCTTTTTCACTGTATTGGGCATGCTCAGAAATATGTGGGCATGCTCAGAACAATGCGTGCATGCTCAGAACTGGTAAATACGGACCAATATGTTTGCCGTCACTAATCGTTTCAAAGTTACCCATTCCATATGCACTTATAAACAGGGCACTGTGCAAATATCAAATACAGTACTGAGTTTGTCAAACTAAGATTAGCCCATTGACCTTTGAACCCGCTGCTACTCAGGGCAGATCTCCGCCAGCAAAAAAAAGTCAGGCTGGTGGTGAAAATGTCAACTTGGTTCACGTCCCTCAGGCGAAGTCAGATCAACAGAAACAGGTCACGTACGCTCACTGTGCCCCGCGCCACTTTTGCACGGACCTCTGTGTGCGCAGAGTACGTATCTTCTCAACGAAGTGGCAAAGACAAAGGCGCCATCTCTCGATCGACAGTACTCACCAAGTAACCAATCAGGATGTTCAAGATGAGTGGCCCGTACTGGCCGACGTCTGAGCTGCAGGTGTCGGCAGGGATCCCCACATCCACGCAGAGGTCAGTCAGCAACTTCACCAAATTGCCCTGTTTCAAGGATAAAAGCGTTGGGTCACTGATCCTCACATTTTTCTCATCATGTAGCTAGTTACCATTGGATTTTCTTACCCGAAAAGGCTGCCGGGGGATTGTTTTTCCCCGGCAAATTCTTCAAAATTGCAATTTATTTATGACACACCCAAACATGATACATTAATACGTCAACCGTGGAAATGAAAAAAGAAGTCATCAATGATTGTACACGTCATCCGTGAAACAAATAAGGAAAACTGTGTGTGTTTACACGCCATCCGGCATAAAGTGGTGAAGGCAAAAGTAAAATGTAGACCGGGAAAAGGGGAAAAATGATTACCTCTTGTCGGTATTTGTTAATTGTGAGAAATAACAATTCTGCCGCCATCATTTTTGGGGGAGGGGGCTTCAAAAAGAAGTATCTGATAACCTTAAAAATGAAAAACTCTTTTTAAAAAAAGACAACAAAAATGGTTGAATTTGCTACCAAATTAGACAAGGATGGGTAGTGTGGGATGTGCAATCCATTCTTTTTCGTCAAATTAGGGTGAGATTATTGAGTGGTGAAGTTTGGGTATTCGTGTCGGTTGGCGAGGTCAGTCTCTGCAAAAAAAACAAGGCTGAGTCTCGTCTGGATACAGCGTCATGCCATCATCACAGCAAACCTCCCCTTAAGCTTGGTTTCATTCTGGGAAAGCGAATGCAAACACAATGCTGTCGGGTGGCGAGCATCGCTGCTTCCCAATAAGTTGAAATCCATTTACCATGTTTACCTTAGGGCAAGATTCACCGCAAATGCTCAAAACATACTTGCTTTGACTTTGTTTGCATGAAATGTTTAATGTTTAACTGACCTGTACTTGCTTTTAACAAAAACATGGGCATTCGTGACAAGGGCACTTTTCAAGAAAGGTGACCCAAAGAAACAGATCCTTGACATTACTGAAACCTTTTACCCTTGGAACCCTTTATCTATTAATCCCCCCTCTCCCATTCGATGCTACACCGGAGATTCCTCAATTGGGTAACGATAAAGACCAACCACTGATACGACCAAATCTTATTGGAGAAGAACAGACTCTTGCCCATTTTAAACCGACAGTCAGCTTACCTGCACCGTTTGGTTGCTGAGGATGTCTTTCAGGTCGGCGACAGTCTCTTTACATTCACTGCACAGATCGCCGTTGCCAGTCACGATCTGAGAGATGGGGTACCCAACATTGAGTCAGATTAGATAAATAACCAACAGAAATCAAAACATAAATAATGTAATCTGCCTTTGTGTTCATTTTGCGGGTAGCGACGTGCCCGTGATGCATGCATTTCATAATCGTTTGTGAACCAGCTAAGTTCTGTTCCTACTAAAGGAGCCTCCATTGCTAGGAATATTGTACCTTTAATTGGTCTAGCTCGGGGCTCATATTGGTCCTTACTACAAATCCTGGACTATTTTTATCTACGATCATTTCATGAATTTTCCAACAATGTGCTGCATCAACGTGGTACACAATTCTTCAACAAAACTGGACAAGTTCCCATGTGAGTTAGCCATTAATGACAGAGTGCTACTGTTCTTTGTAAGTTCAACAAAGTTACGAAAACTGGGTGGTGTTTTTAGGTAGATTTCGCATTGAAAATAAAGGATTTATTGAGACAATGTGGGTCTTTCTTCTTTGACCAACTCAACCGGCAGTAGTTGTACTGTTCCTCTAAATATGTCCGAGCAGAAGCTGTCAGGATCGCTTACCTGTTTGACAGCCGAGACTGCATGGATCAGTTTTCTCGTGACACCAGGTGCACACAGCTGCAGTCCTGGACAGAGAACGTTGCCATCCTGTGTGTAGAGATAAACATACAGATATTCCTCAGAATTCGAACCCGCTACCTCTGAAATGAGATTCCGGTGCTCTAGTGACATTACCCAGCTGTGCTCCAGATTGCAAAAGTGGTGGGGTGATAACATTGGGCTGGGCGGTTAAAAAAAAAACCAGAAGTACATGTACATGTATAATATGCCAGATGTTGTATTTTAACCCCAACGACATGACATTTTTCAATCCTAAAAGTGAAATGACTAAATTGGCATGAAAAGCAATGTTGATCTCACCAGTTCTGATACGACAAACTGTAAAATGAATGGCAGGTACTGGTCTATAGCTTGCTGGCAGGAGTCAGCAGGGATACCTACGGCCTCGCAGACCTTGATCAGGGTGGACTCTACTTTACTCTGCAGAAAAAAAAACAAACAAACAAACACAGGTAAGGTAACATCAGCACTCTTAAATCACAAATGTCAAATCTCATGTTGCATCTGTTTGTGCCATGTCTACATGAGTCACGTTTCTTCAAGGCCTCCCGGGGCAGGGGCAAATCTGCGACAGATCAACAGAGGGTGTATGTTTTAATGGTCAGTTTTGTTTTTTGTTTTATCACAGTTTAAGCACTCATGTATGTCGAACTGTGCATTGAGTGCACGTTCACGGGAGAGTTGACATATTTAGCCAACCCGGGTGTTAAAATGGCTACAAGACATCTGTAGAAAAAACTGAAAGCTTGAAGTGATGGCAAAAATGCATTACCATGACAATGGAGTAAATGGTTGGGATTCAGGCCTCTTCAACTCTTTCAAGGGTTTAATTACAGTAAAAGTGAAAATGTCGGATACTGAAAGAACCACATTGATTGTTCACACATAAGGTGTGTTTAATTTTACCTAGTGACATCACATGCATCCGCTGCATTTATATGGCATCCTATTGCCATTATTTCTTTTACCTGCACCTTGCTGTTGCTGAGGATGTCCGAGATGTCTGCAATCATTTGCTTACATTCTGAGCAGATGTCGCCATTTGACAGGGGTACCTAGATGCAGCAAATCAAAGAGGCTGGAGTTATGCTGCTCGAGGCAACAGAGGGATAGTGCAGAGCTACAATGTTTCGGTTGGGTTCAGTCTTGAAAATTGAGATCACAGGTAAATCTCTCCGGACTCTCTTGGGAAAAAATGTTTATCTCTATTAATCAGACTAGGTCATCTGGTGTCCATTTTTACACAAGACATTAGCCATTATTTTGTTGACCCCCGGCTGCAGAGCAACTGTAGCCTTGATAAGAGCAATGGTGCAGTACTCAGACCCACACTTATGAATAATTTTCAGCACTTTTTGCAGCACAAAACGTCTCAACTTCAACGCTGAAGTACAACGGTGAGGCGGATAAAGACAACTAGGATGAAAACCAACCGGTATCCATGCAACGTATACCGCTCATTAAACTGTCTGGCAAGTCTATGACTTCTATGACAGTTTAGTAAGAATGCAACCACTCACTTGCACTGCGAGAGTAGTGACCCGCATTGGCTGGATTTGGAGTGTCGCAGATGCTCCACACAGCTTGTCTCTGTTGCAAACATCTGGCTTCTGTGGAATTCATAAATTGAGCAGATATGGACCATGCTGACTTCACAGGCTGAAGGGTAAAATTGGCTGTCCATGGGCATGTCTATAAGCTGGTGTATGGGCATGCCTATGAGCTGGTCTATGGGCATGTCTATGAGCTGGTCTATGGGCATGCCTATGAGCTGGTCTATGGGCATGTCTATGAACTTGTCTATGGGCACGTCAATGAGCTGGTCTGTGGACATGCCTATGAGCTCGTCTATGTGCATGTCTATGGGCTGGTCTATGCACATGTCTATGAGCTGATCTATGTGCATGTCTATGGGCTGATATATGGGCATATCTGTGGGCTGGTCTATAGGCATGTGTATGAGCTGGTCTATGGACATGTCAATGAGCTGGTCTATAGGCATGTGCATGAACTAGTTTCTGGGCACGCCAATGAGTTGGTCTCTGGGCATGTCAAGGAGCTGTGGACAAGTCTGTGGGCTGGTCTATATGCATGTTTATAAGCTGGTCTATCGGCATGTCAATGAGCCGGTCCATGGGCATGTCTATGCGCTGGTCTATGGGCATGTCTATGAGCTGATCTATGGGCATGTCTATGAGCTGATCTATGGGCATATCAATGAACCGGTCTATGGGCATGTCTATGAGCTGGTCTATGGGCATGTCTATGCACTGGTCTATGGTCACGTCTTTGAGCTGGTTTACAGGCATTTCTATGAGCTTCTCTGTGGATGAGTTGGTCTATGGGTACATCCCTGGGCTGGTCTACAGGCATATCTCTGACCTAATCTGTGGCCCATGCTATGGGCTGGTCTATGGTTTATGTGGCAAAAGGACTATATCACTTGAACAAGTACATACGTTATGACCAGCAGTAGTAAAATATTCCCTGTATTAATTTGTTGGTATAATTGCAATTTTTCCTATTTCTGCTGACCCCAACCTTAAGCAACCTGTACTCTTGAGAGGGGATGACCCCTATCAACCAAACACTCAGGCACGCCCTTTGACACTTGAAAACTCAGCAGTCCCTCACCAGAGTGCCAATGAGGTAGTTCAGCAAAATTGGAGCAAAGGTGTTGACGTCGTTGGTGCAAGTATCTTTGGAGACGCCGAGGGCGACGCAGATGTTGATGAGTTCAGTTATCAATCCTTCCTGTAATCGAAAAATGAAAAAAGGTGTTATTTGAAAATGTAACTCGGTAAGATGCAATCGCGTACGGGTTTGACCGGACTCCGTCACTGAATGGAAATATGCGGGGTCATGACAAGTCTGCTAATTCTGATGTAAAGCTGAACCCCTCCGACAGAGGAGCCAAGCGCTGACAGAAAAGTGGAATGAAGCTTGCAAATGCTCCAAACGCCGCGGACCAAATGTTAGATTGGCCATGGCTTGCACACTCGTGGCAAGGCTATGATTGATCATCAAAGTAACATTCTGGCTTAAACCCATTCAGTTCCACAACAGAGTGATGAAAAAAAACCTGATTCAAACCTGCGCAGTCTTATTGTTGAGCAAGTCCGCCAGGTCAGAGATAATCTCTTTACACTCCGTGCAGGTATCCCCATTACCCTTGACAATCTAACACACAACAGATGCGAGGAAAAGGAGAGAACAGAAATAAAAGAAAGAAGTCAGAAATAATGTTTTAGGAAGTTTTCAATTGTGTGTCTCATGGTTTACGGTCAAGGTGCTTGATCGCATCCGTGCAACTTTCATTTGTATGTGCCCTTGAACTGACAAAGTTAAAATACTGTTTCAATCATTTAAAAAATTTTTATTTTCACAAAGCACGATGCCAGACAATCTTTACAGGGAGATAAACACGAAGTCTTGCTCTTCAGTTTGAACAAAATCACCCGGTTTGGGCTGACTACTGACCAGTGATGCATGCTGGTTCGTAAATCTTTCGAAACTGAAGGAAAAAATGGTTTGGGAATGTTACTCTTGCAATAATTGAGCAGAAAATTGAGCAGAATATCGGGGTCTTGTAGGCAAAAAGATAAACAGAATTTCAAGACCTAAATCCATGACTGATTTTTCTACAATCTGTACGCACCTTTTTCAACGTAGAGACGACTTGACTGAGTTTCTGCAGCTGAGCTGGGCACAGATGCTGCTCTGGACAGATTGTGTCACCATCCTGGATGTCGAGAAAAACAGACAGAAGATTTCCAAGTGCAAATTTTGGATTAATTATCGCATATTAATTATCACCAGGAAATGAACAGAACCAACCATTCACAGAAATTTTCATCTGTCATGAAAAAAAAAACAAACAAACAGCAAACAAGTTTCATGCAACCTTAAGATGGATTAAGGTCAAATTAATGAGAGCTGATATCTCACTCATAGTTTCTAGAAATCAACTCAAACAGGCTAGTATATTTTGTGGAATTCTGCAAATTCTCATAGAATTAGGGCAAATTCATACACAGCGGAATTTTTGTGGGAAATCTATATGAAACAACATTTTGGTAAAACAAAACCAAAATGAATGGTGAAACAACTCTTAAATTACTGGCACCAGAAGGTGAGGAAGAAGTCCTGGGTTTGACTCCCATCCCAGCAAGCTTGGGATTTTTCTACAAATGGACCACACTGAGAATGCATTGTAAATATCTACATCCGTGTGGGAAACATCCAATACATACACCTAGAGCTTCCATCCCAGTGCCAGACTGATTTAACATAAGCGCCAAAAGGTATTTTAAAAACGCATGTCTCACCAATAACTGGACTAGTAAGCTGAAGACGATCCCTCCATACTGAGAGACGTACGACGTGCAGGTGCCAGGGTCAACACCAAAGGTCTCACAGATCTTGGTTATGGACGCCAGAATATCTTTCTGATTTTAAAGAAATGAAAACGTCACAAACAAGAACACAAGAGAAGGCAATGATAAAATTGTGAGGAAAAAGATCAACAAACAGGAAAAAAATAACCAAATTGGCAGAAAATACCAGCCGGCCAAATCTAACAGCACTGCTGTTATGTTCAGGAAATCTTACTTCGCACTATACCACAGCAAGTATGGAGCTGTCCTGTTCTCATAGTCAACATGCTGGAGTTGTTAGACAGTCTGAAATTCTTAGGTCAATAGTTGGAACTCACCTGAACTGTCTTGTTACCCAGAATGTCTTGCAGGTCGGAGAAAATGGCCTTGCAGTCCTTACAGATATCACCGTTTGATGGAGGTTTCTTTACAAAAGAGATTGAAAAGAAGTAGCAAAATTGATATGCGTATTTGTGACAAATTGACAAATCTGATATAGAGTGGCGCCTTTTCAAAGTTTATTGATGCTGTTTGGCAAAAACCATGTGATTTGAAAGAAGACAATTAACTCCAACAACCTCACAGATGTTCACAATGATTTGCAGGTTTCGTGAACAAAACTAGTGTCTAGGTTTGCATCACATCGGAGTACAAACACATTGCGGTATTAAACACCCAAGTAAGCAAATGGGCAAAGATGACTGCATATGGACAGAGACGCTGGTTTATTGATCATCAATTTTGCAGGCCGACACAGTGCACAATATCGACCATTGCCCCGGACACTTCTACCTGCGACAACACAAACACTCCACAATAATATTACTTTCGTGCGACTTTTGGTGGAAAGCTTTCCAAATGTTTACCTCAAACTTGATCAGGTTCACGGGCAGGTCGCTTGGACACACACCTAAATACTTGCAGATGGTATCAGCATCCTACAAAGATAAAAATCCAGGACAAAGTGTCAATTTCTGGGGTTTTTTTAAAGTGCAATGATCACTAATGGATTTGCACCACATAAGCACTTGTATTACTATCATTATTGTATTGTTATATTTCCAAATAGGTCACTTGGGAGACATTTTGTGGTAAATTTTTGATCATTAGGGAGACATTTCAATGTATCCCTAATGCTCCAACTACCAAAAGGAGGAAAATTTTTACTGTCCACATTTTGAGAGACAATAGATTAGGGTCTGAAGGAAAACATGCAAAGTTTGGTTAAGATCGGAAAAGGGAATATTGAATTATGGGACGGAAAAGTTTGAAAAATTTTTGTGCACGTTCCTATGGGAATTTCTCCCAAGTGACCCATTTTCGATAATATTATTATTATCATGATGTCTCATTTTTTGGCCGGTTATTTTGAATCAGGAAGCTTGTACAAATCTTGACCTCACTCCACAACTGCTAACGAATTTAGAGTGACTAGTGAGCAATTTCTGATTAATGCATATAGATGTTGGTAGAAGGAACACACCGGTGAGAATGGAGCATAAGTTTCTAAAGGTGCATGACCTATTTCCCCTACTCACCAGAAACTGCAATATCTCATTGAAGATTTCTGGGCCATACTGCTCAACCAAGGATTTGCAAATGCTCTCAGACTCGCCGGCGAGCTCACACACCGCGATGGCAATCTTGAAGATATATTCCTGAAGCAGGGCACAACAAAACTCACTGCTTTTGAAACAACTCATGTCCTTATGGAAGCATCAATAACTTACTCTCTACACAAGCATGACAAGTGCCTCTTTCGTTATTTAAAAAAACACACCAAAGCGACGATATTGTAAGACAGGTGTTTCTAGGCTTGTCTCAAGAATGTGACAAAATATTTTTTGGGAAACATCATTTGTGAAAACCCCGTATGAACAAATGAAGTATTTTGTACATGCCTTTCTTGTAAATACTACAGCGCCCTCTATGTTCTACGCGCAGACCACATACAGATAGCAAAAGGCCTACGCCACATGTTACATAAAACCCCTCTCCTTCATCCAATACACACAAGTAGTTTAGACTTTACATAAACGTCCACGTTAGCCATGCTTTACTAATTGTGTCTCAAGTAATATTTCATCCGATATCACATCCAAAAAACAAAGAGCGACGCCGAGAGTTAAGTCACTAAAACAAGAATTACAATTCCAATAAACAGAGGAAGAGGAAACTACACAGCCGTTAAAGAAAAAAAGAATATCCAATTCCACTGACGTAAACATTTTCAAATTTAAGCATGTGAAATTTGAATTTTCATGCACATAATCCAAGTTCATGATTCGACCTGTACAAATGTAAGTTGAATTGTTGCGAAATTAAAATGCGTTTGATCTACCTGCAGGGATTTGTTGCTCATCATGTTCTTGATGTCGTTAATTGCCTGTTTACAGTCCGTACACAGGTCCCCATCCTTTTTAGGAACCTGGCAAAAACATTAAAAACATATGGACAACTTGGTTAAATTGCCATCAATTGCTGGACACAAACAGCGAACAAACAGAAAGCCAAGAGGCCTTCGAGGGTCAGCAATTAGAGAAAACCAAACTAAACGTTACACGTATGGACCATGTGTTGTTTCATTGAACTCACAGATTCTTTCACTGGGTGCTTGATTAATAAAGGAAATTTTTACTTACCATGATGAGTTTCAGGATGAGTTGCCTCGGATTAAATACTGCCATAGGACCACAGACACCCAGTTCAGGGCAAATCATATCACCATTCTGAAATTCAACACAAACTAAGTTATTTTGGAGATGTTATAGATGTTCACTGGGGAAGTCGAAACCAGCTGAACCATGGAATCGGGACGATATTTGTTTTGATAATCAAGGTGGAAACGTACATGGATGCTTCTAACAATGAGTCTGCTGACAACATCTGATTAATCACTCTCCAATTGTAAGTGTGTCGTATGTTGCCAGATTTGAGCAAATTAGGCAGGATTTAATGTTCATTACTACTCACCAGCAGGGTGATGATGTAGTCAATAGCCTCAGGAAAGAACTCGGAGATGGCTTGGCAGACTGACTCGGGGAGCCCCAGCTCAGAACAGGCCTGCGTGATTTCCTTGAGCAAATATTGCTGTGAATAGAAAACAACATCAGGTTTAAGATTTGTAAAAAAGCAGACAAGTCTGCAAAACGTATGATCCTATATTAGAGGCCATTTTGTAGTCACACACTTTTCGAGTTAATAGTTTTTACTTCCAAATATTGAACTGGTCAGGTGTAAACAAAGCTGGACACCATGGACATTGCAAGTTAAGTACACAAAAGGGAAAATTAATTAATTATAATTTAAGAAATTAATCAGCTTATCAAAATACTCAAAACTATTCAGTTGAATACTTTGATTACTTTTCTCCTTTAAATATTAATTTTTCTAAAAAGTATCACAGTCTGAAACCTAAAATTTGGCGCAGTCTGACCCCCGGGGCACTTACCATCCCATGTCAATATTCTCCTACTGTATTGAACCTAATAAGTTCAATATTCAGCCGTAAGCTTGGTAATTGAAAACTATGCAAATGTAACTCCACTTTAAGGTCTCTTGTGGATGACGTTTCACATGGGAAAACAGCAATTCAAATCACATGAGCATTGTTTTTACAAAGACGTTCCTGCTGGAAGTCAGCCGGTCGAAACCAAACAGGGTTACGTCTACCGTCACAGATGGGGGTTTCTGGGCTAGACTCTTTGGCATAAAATCATAGCCGTATTGATATGAACCTCTGTTCGTGTTCGGGGTTTGTTGACCATACATGTACCTGTACTGTTTTGTTTCGCAGGAGATCATCGAAGTCGGAGAATATCTGCTTACAGTCAGAGCACAGGTCATTTCCAAGTCTGGTTGTCTACACCAAAAAAGGCAGAATAAATGAAAACATGACAGAGTTGTAGCTGCGTTCATCACAAGTCCCTGCTAGTCCCTCACCCATCATGCCCCTGTCGGCTATGCCACAAGCTATTTCAATGAACTGCAACAAAAGCATTCCTTTGTCATTGCTCATCCTGTTACTTGCGACTGGTCTCATGAGAAGACTCGTGACTGGTCTCATGAAAGGACTTGTAACTGGTCTCATGAGAGGACTTGTGACTGGTCTCATGAAAGGACTTGTGACTGGTCTCATGAAAGAACTTGTGACTGGTCTCATGAAAGAACTTGTGACTGGTCTCATGAAAGGACTTACAATGGACTCAACTTGAACACTGAAACCCCAGGTAATAACCAAAAAACTACAGGTTCATGCATAATTAAGCTCTCAACAGTTAAAACAAAATAAATTTAGTACTCAAGCAAGGTCATTTGAACACAGACAAGAAATGCATAATTTTGAGAATACCTAGTTCAAATGCTTTTTTAATTTCCATCGTTCATGTATGCTATTTACATATATCAGCTGAGCCCGTGGCGGCAAAACAGCCATCATTTTATTCCGTGTTAAGGTAAGGCATGTACACTCTAATATTTGACATGTGCTGGTTGCGATTGTCACAAAATATTGCATATATGCACATGACCTGAACACTCTCGTCAACAAGACTGAATAAAGCCCACTTCACTGTGTTTCACACGGACCACACAGTTTGCAAGATGTGAATACTACACTCTCCTTGAAACAGACCGATTGGGCGTGGCCATGTTCTGGTGAAAGTGAAAATGTTGAAGGCAAACAAAGCAACAACATTGCTCAATACTATTACATAAATATTATCTATTTATAAAGTTATTCCAGAATTTCTGCCAGTCACTGTTTCATTTTCAGGGGCAATGTAACGAGTGGATGAGGTAACTAAATTTCCCTACAAAACTGAAACAAGATTTCATAAAACAGAGGCACTTTAACAAGAAACACAAGCATGTTTAGACAAGAGTGAATATCGGGGATGAGATTGACCAATGCCAAAAAATACACGCAGCTGAAAACAGCCGAAAAAAAGACATAAAGAAGCCGAACTGTGAAAACCTCCTGTACTTTTGTACACAGCTAGTAAGGAAAAAAAGCTGAAATCAGCTGAAAAGCTGAGAAATCTCACCCCTGAAATAAACACCACACAGGCAAAACATTTCACTGCCAAAAAAAATGTGATCTTTCTCAAAGGCTTGTAATTCTAGGCATGGAATTGTGGGTAGTCTGAAACTCACTGAGAGAATGACTCACCTTTCTCAAGAAATCGATCCGGGTTATGGCGGAGCAGACACCAAGTTCCTGGCATATCATGTTGCCATCCTGACAAGACAAACATGTCAAGAAACACTCACTTAGCACTAAACGTCCAGGCATGAACAAGAGAGGGCAGCATGTTAGCTAGCAATGTCCTACATGTATTGGCTGACACCACACACAAGCACTTGGTTGCGCAGGGTACAGAGCATGGCCAGTAATCCACACTTCAACCCAACAATCTTCAGTCTTTTCATTAGGGGATGCAGATCTGAAGGCACAGGTAATCGTTTTTTCAGGAAACCTCTTCTTCAATAAGTATTTGTGACCTGGGCACTCTAGGTGAGAATTTCAAACCTTGTTTCTAAGTCCTCCACAAAATAGTTTTAAAAACAGTCCCAATCTAAAAACTGGAGATCACTCTGGCTGCAAAGGTAAATTTTAGGCTGATACATAAGCTTTAATGAGTTAAAAAAAACACAATAAAAACCAAAGAAAGCTGAGCAACACAGAAGCAAAGCTGTCCTAAAAGTAGGCACTGCCGATCTGAGAGAGTCAGACGGCAAATCGTTGCACTCAGGGTACGGCAGAACTCACCAGAAACTGTATAATGTACTGGAAGACCTGGGGCCCGTACTCGTCAATGTACATCTTGCAGAGGTCGGCAGGGAGGCCGGCTTCTTCGCAAAGCATGATGACTTCGTTGAACACATATTGCTGCAGGGAAGACCAGATACGTTTGCAAGGTTACTGGCAAAAGTACTGAAAGAAGTCCAATTACATTCAGCAGTTACCTGAAAAAGTTTTGAGGAACACGTTTTAAGTGATATTTTTCATCAGGTGCTTGAGATTACGCTTGTCAAATTTGAATGACTATTGAAAAAAGTCACGTCGAGATCTCACTCCCTGTTGAGTCTGAGGAACCTTGGAATAGAATTAACCAAAATGTAGCAAACTGATCAAAATTCAAGCTTCTCAGCCATGAAGCAGTTTTTTTATGCATGCTGGTGTTGCATAAATGTTTACGCACATTTGTTGTGGGACACTCTGAACATGCGTGACCATTTGCTGGAATGTACCATATAAGTGTGCGATCCGAGCAAATCGTTTAGTCTTTTCCAGTGGGAAGTGTCTCCAGCCTGGCAGACACAGCCCTCTCCAACGCCATGGGGATGGAATCACACACGTACCTGAAGGGTCTTGTTGGACAGAAGGTCCTGTAGGTCACTGAAGATTTGTTTGCAGTCGGAGCACGCATCGCCAACCGTGTTGGGAGGGAGCAACTGATGAGAAATCAGGACAGTCATGAATATTCGCCCTTTGCTCAACACATGCAAATATCCCAATGCTCATGACCACCAAACACTGACAAGTGACGAATATTCATCAGTATCATTAAATTTAAAAACAAGAAATGAATATTCATAATTTCCATCATCAACCACTTTCAAGCTTTGCCTTTTCAATGAGAGTTGGAAATGCTATAGACATTGGATTTGTTATATTAAAATACAGGCCCCCTCAAAAGAAATACACCAGTATTTATTATGTAATACATATTGTTTGGTGGGGAAAATAAAGTTTTGGTCAACTTGTGCATAAGAGCTACACAACAAATTGTATGTACAACGTAAATGTTCGGTATAATTAACTATCAAACATTAATTAGAAAGTATACATGTACACCATTTACTTTTGATTTCAACAATTTTTTGACTGAAAACTACATATGGGTAATTCCAGAAATTAGGGGTCCATTTTTTCGTGTCCCTGTCACGTCTGACATATGATTTTGTAAGTTCAGAACACATTTTCTGATTTCCAAGAGTGATGAATTAATGCAAATTACCTGCCAAACAAATAGCAATACTTTGGAATCAATTCCAGTGATATTTCCATGTCAAACAACAAAGGTCAGATGTAACAGGGACACGAAAATGTCACACTTTTGGACCCCTGATTTCTGGAATTACCCATATACCTTCAGGCATTTACTGACGGTGACTAGACGACCAACAGTTGACTGAACTACATAGTAACACAACACTCAGAGATATGGCATGCACATATATGTAAATGGATCATCAAAATTTCTAAAGTTTGAAATTAAGTCACACAAAGTTGAATCCAATAATTGCCATTAAAGGACCTACCGGTATTTAAACATGTACTTTCTGCACACTTCTGCAAGTACTTGTACTTTGTATTTTGTACACTTTTGATATTGATTTTCTAATGTACTTCCTGAAGTATAATCCCTGAGTGGAATTTCAGTTTGGAATTGAAAGCCTTGTTTTAAAAACCAACTTTTCTTCGTTTCACTTCAACTTCACATGGCACTTCATTATGCGGTGCAAACTGAAAGTGTCCCACACTTTATCTCAGATAAGATGATCAATCTTTTTCTTCCACTAAGAACAGAGAAAAGTCCACTAAAAAAAGATAACAGCTTCATAAAAACAGTACACAAAAGTAAAGACAAAAGTAACCCAACCTAAAGAACAATACAGCAAATTCTCCAAACATAACAAGGTCAAATAATTTCAGTTTCACTGTGCAAGGACGAACAGCCCAACATCCCAATTTTACAAACATAATCTACTGGTACTACGCTTGAATCACGCAGAATTTTTCTTTTGCACTTTACGTTGGAGACTTAGAAGAGAGAGCCCTACCTCCTCAATCAGAAAAAATTGTTATGAACTGCTTGTATGATTGTCATTTACTAGTTTTTCCTAAAAGTAGGGAAAATTGAAACAAACTGCCCAAATGGGAGGGGGGGAGGTCCACCGACCACAAGCTGGACACGCAGTCACAAACTAACTTGGATTTGGAGTCTTAAAAACTCAAACAAGTATTAGTTTATTTAATATTCCTTAGCTTGCTACGTCATAAAATTGCCAGCATATCTTGGGTCAGAGGTCATGGGATCTCTTGACCTACATGTACCTGTACTGGAGGCTCTTTGGCATTGCTGGGTGCGGCACTCTTGCAAAGGTCAAGGAGTTTACAGACCCTTGATGCATCCTTTTGGAAAAACACAAAATGAAGACAGTAAATGTACTAAAATAAAGACAGTGAACTGGTAAAAAAAACCTGCCAGCCTGGATCAAAGCATGTGTCGACGACTTCCCTTAATTCATGCCACGAAAACAGTACCAAGTAAAATGATTCACTTTCAGGTAGATGTACATGTGCTCTTCCTACATGCAAATGTCCACAGGTTGAAGAGTTTGGTTTGAAGTTGTATGCCCAATTATGTGCTCAGATGAGGCTATGAAGTATTTCTGGTAAAAATGTCCAAACTTCAGACATACAATTGAAACATCTAAAAATGAAGAAAAAATCTTCCAAGCTGCTCAAGACTTTGATAGGTGTTCTCCAACTTGTGATGACATGCGTACATGGGAAGAACATGTACATGTACGATAGAGGAAATCTGCTTATCTTAGAAATTAAGCTACATGCCTGAAAACTAAAGAAGATGGCTTGCACAATAAGATGGTCTTCAGAAAGTAAGCATATGTGAGACTGTTGCTCTGGTTTCACTACTTCAACTAATAGCGCAAGTTTGACCTACACGCACAATTTGGCAGTCACTTAACTTTACTGTGCAGCGCTAAATACAGTTTTGTTGGTTGCCGCTGCAGGTTCCTTCTTTTCTCATTCTAAGGGGAGGATTAAGTCATGAACACTGAGAAAATACTTTGGAAATAATCTACAAGTAACAATGGTCAACTACTCTGGGCAACCCTTCAAGGCAGAACAAACTTTGTTCCATCTGGAAAGAAAGTGCCAGCTGGCACAAAGTTATATCTGGTGCATTAGTTTTAAAAAGTTCACAGATATCAAAAGTTTGCCGTTCCAGAAGCTCGACTTTTGGCCAAGTGGAACACAATTGCATGACAAACATAAAGCCTCTGTGTCTTGTGATCACATTTGGTTTTCAATGACTTTTTCCTGGCCGTTGATTCCACTTTTTTTTTTACAATGTTATAACTACTGGCAGCAAAGGCCAGGGTTCAGGATGATTCGAGTGATAAGATGTCCAAAAAGAACCTACTTCACGACATAAAAATAGTTGTTAACAAGGCACTTGAGACAATACCCTTAAACCTGCACAAATCTGCCACAACAGGTGTTTCCGCAAGATCCTTTATACACAGGTCAAGAGTACACGTGAGTATCACTTGTACAAAATACGCACAGATGCCAGGTAAGGCCAAAATAAAAATAGTTTGTTGTTGAGTCATGGGACTAGACCAGCTTTATCATGGTTATAAACTGACAACAAACAACTTCATATTCACAGTCTGCTTGTTCAACATCGATCTCTTCGGGATCTATCGCCCTGAGTAAAAGATTAGGCTGCCCGCAAAAATTCTGAGACAGTTTGGCAATAGAGGGAGTTGTTGCAGCTCTCATAGAGAAAAAAAAAATGATGCGCATGCTTGAAATCAACGTGCGCACTCACCAGAGACAAAAGGCTTTTTTTTGGCCAAAAACACCTTATGAAAACAAATATGTGTTGGGTTAATTGGATTCAGAACAAATTCAGCAAATCTCCAAAACTTGCTCCATCCAAACATGCATTCAACACAGGCCAAGCAGTATCGTGAGAAAATGCCTACAGTAGTATGACCGATCCTGTCCAAAATTCAAAAATAGAGGAACACTAACCCTCCACTTAGTAGAGCTACATGTGCATGCACTACCATAAAAGCTACCATCCTAGATGCATGGAACCACGCAGTGCTCTAAGAGCGCCATCGACA